GGAGAAAGTGACACGTGTCATGTTAATGTGAATTGTGAGATCTCAAGTCAGAACCATGGGTAGTTTGGTTACTGACAGTTGTAGAATGCCTGCCTGATTTATCAGCAGCGTTCTCTGGTGAATTCGAGCGTGGAATTAGTGACGATTGTTGTCTGTCTTCTGTTAGGGTGGAGAGTACGAGTTGCTGACCTGCTCCATGACGGCCTGGAGGGTAGCGAGCTGCAACCATGGCCTACGCAGACAGGGCCACTACTCATGTGAGGGGGGCTGACAACAACGGAAACGTCTGGCGGAGACCAGGAGGTTCCAGTGGCAGGTTTCAACTATAAACCAGCCACGAGTCACTGTTGGAGTGAATAGAGTCACTGTTGGAGTGAATAGCGCTATTGAGGATAGACTGAGGTGATCACCGAACCCTGAAGGTAAATGGTACCATGTTCCAAACGAGCTCGACTTCAAGTTACCGGGAAACGCGGCGGGAAGACTTTTATACGGAAAGCAAGACACTAAAACGAAATAGTGCGCCTGCAAGAGCGTGAATTCGCGAAAGATTAGTGTGATGATTCGGAAAATTGGTTAACGCTAATGTGTTACTTATTAACAGGAGATCTCCTATGGACAACTTTACTTAGGTTGATCTAGGTAGTTGATAAGTGTTGTGACTGTCGATTTGTTCTTATGTTATTATGTTATCGGTTATGTGTGGTGGTTATTTTTGTTAGGTCATTGGGTGTTTCAATGACGAAGGACCTGGGCGATTGTAATGTTATCGCAGAATACTAGGCTCCTATATTGGTTGTTGTAAAGAGTGCTCAACTTTTAGTTTAAAAAAAAAAATAAAAAATCTTTTAGCTCTTGACCCGTGCGTCTGGTATTTAATTAAATGCCTGAAATTAATGGATATTTCCACCTGTGGAGCTGGAATGGAGGAGCTACGAGAAAGTTCAAACAGCGCTGTTTCCCACTAACTTCCCTATACCCTTTTCCTAGCCCACCCGAATAAATAGGCTGGATCGTAGACTCGTCCATACCAGTTAGTTTTGAAAGTTGAAATTGCAAATAATCAGTAATATGTTAAAGAATCTAACTGGCATAAGCCTGGAAAGGCCTTGTTTAGAGAATAGCCGGCTCTCTAACCCTGGCTGGTGAGCACTCCTAGAAACATTAAGTTTTCTGGTCTAAGTAACTACAGCGGTAGTTGGGTTAAAATGTTGTGTCGTGGGTTGTTTGTGTAGTTGTGTTTACTCTTATGTTAGTGAGTTGGATAAAGGTTACTGTAAAAAGGGGGCAAGTAGACTGGTCATGTACAGGGGTGATTGAGTAATGGATCGACCCCAAGTGAAAGCTCGTGCGGCTTCTCCAGAGCGAGTGAGTAGCGTTCGAAATTTAAACCAATGCGCTGAGCGCACACATTATGTTTGTGACTAAGGATATAAATGATAGCGTTCGGTACGCCTTACCTATGAATGATATAGTAAAATTAAAATCATGAGTTAAAAGTTTGTTGACAGTCTGCTGGTCCGCGGTGTGTGATTAAATCGCTGTGAAAGTAGTTTGCGGAAAGTGCAACCGTAAGTTTTTTTTGTTAATTAGTTTATTTTTTTTTTATTTGTGAATTGGGCATAATTCCAATTTGATTCACTGATGCTGTGTGCTAAGGTTAAATGTTTGATAAGGATAGGTACATGTAAGATGTGAGTTAAGTGTTAGGGATACATGTTGTATCACCGTTGGGGTTGATAGGCGTTAGGTTGTTTAGTGTCGGGACACAATTTAACGAGTCATAATGAGTTTGCGTGAAATGTTTTTCTTTGTTAAAGTTTAGTATGAGGGGCTAAGTTTTATTAAGTTATATTACCTTTTATGTTGTTGTATCTTGTAACTTTTAACTGTGAGTTCTTTTTGCTCAATATGATAAATGTTACGCGTGTTTTGTTCGGTGTTTGGTGCAGTAAGTGTTCTTTTTTTGGTTATCGTTATTGTTCTGATTGATGGTCGAGTGGACCATGTAGTTAAGTTTTTTTTTGTAATAATTTACTTAAGTAATCTTTGTAAATTCGGAAGGACTATTAATCGTAATGTGTTGGAAAACTGTTTAGTAACTTTTGTTGTTGTATTCGAAGAAAAGAGTAAGAGACGTATTATCAAAATTCGAGGGGGGTTTAAAATTTTTGGGAATAGATAAAATTTAAATCCGCCCAAGCCACATGACAGATACCTTCCAAAAACCTTTCCAAATCTTGGCATAACTTGGAGACAGAGAAAGCTACGTCAACAGAATTTGTATAATGCACTTCAGTAGATTGAAGCTGCGGCAGAGGGCCCAGTTGGAAGGGCAGGCTGCATGCCGAGGACGGCATGAACTTGAGGTGGGGGGAGTGTGACGGCCTGGCATATTTGCCTCATTTTGTTGTAATTTGTTAACTTTGAGCTTAAGCTGGTTGGCCTTACTCCCTAAACCTGGCCCGTTGGCTATCACCGAATATTTGCTAGGTTGATGTGTCAACCGTATTTAGCAATATTGAATTTTATTTAACTTCACATAAGTCTCCAAGTGAACCTTGCAACTCATACTCCAATTCATTTCATTACTTTGTAACCCTACAATAATCCTAACCAGACGTCGTGGCTTGGCCGGATATGCCTTGGAATGTGCTGAATCTGCATGCACGTGTGCCGCGATAAACAATGTTACACTTCTAGACTCGGTTCCTCGCTTCAGTTAGTTTCATTAATGACAGTTGTGATCGTTTGGCTGCAGCACCAGACGGGCGAGTAAATTATGGGCTGAGCGCTCAGCGTGTGCTGATTGGCCGATGACGGTCATGTGACCACGCTGAGGCTATCGCTCGGACGATGCTGAAGCAACCAGATCGCGCCGGAATGTAGCGAACGACGGTAAGGTCCGCGCGGGCGGTCTCCCCTTTCATTCCATCTTACTCTTTTCTTTTAAGTCCGCGTACGTTTTAAATTCAATATTGTGTAATTCGTAGTATTTGGTAGAGATTTGATTCAATTTGTAACGTGTTATTTTAAACGATGTAATCATGTAAAGTTTATTAGTTCATTAATAAAGTGTTAGCTGATCCCTATTCGCTTGTTTTAATATTCGTTCTTCCTGCTCCCAACCGCTACGAAGACCAAGAGAGGCTGCTGTGACACATAGACGACATCTTTGTCATTTGGCCCCATGGAGAAAATAGCCTCAACCATTTTTTAAATAGCCTAAACACTTTCTCAACATTGAAATTCACTTGGGAATTATCTGAAACTGCGGTTCACTTTCTTGACGTCATGGTGGAACTGAAAAATGGCTCAATCTCCACATCTGTCTACACCAAACCCACCAACCACCAACAGTACCTACACTACAACAGCTGCCATCCCAACAACACCAAACGCTCCCTACCCTACAGTCTTGCCTTAAGAGGGAAACGAATAAACTCCGACAAGAAGAATCTGATAACTTACAACAAACAATTCCAAACTGCTTTTGAAAATAGAGGATACCCGACACAAACAGTCTCTTCGCAAATAAAAGCGGCCCAAAATGCTACTGACAATCCACCTAAGAAAACCAAAACCACCTACGATGTCAACCTGGTGACTACTTACTACCCAGGTCTCAACAGGCTCAATAACCTTTTGAGAACCGGCTACAACATGCTTCGAAGCTCCACCCAGACCAAAGATCTCTTCCAAAAACCCCCCACCATAGTCTACAGACAACCTGCCAATCTAAAAACCATCCTAGTCCATCCCAAGTTACCCGACCCGTCCGTTGAACCACCTCCAAGACTGCCCCCAGGTTCCTACCCATGCAATGAAACCAAATGCAAGACCTGTGGCATCAACATTCCTGCAGAAACCTTCACCAGCACATCGTACAACAAAGAGTACAAAATAAAAGACCACATAACATGCAATAGCGAAAACCTGATCTACCAACTACAATGCAAACTCTGTCAAGCTCAATATATAGGCCTAACCACCCAAACTCTTAGGAAAAGGATGAATGGACATAGACAGGATGTTAAAACAAACAAATACAAACCCATTGCAATACATGCAGCAAACCACAACTTAGACTTTGATACATGTTTCACCACAAAAGCCATAAAATCCCTCCCCAAAGACCAATGTAACAGCTCCCTACTCAGAAGGTGGGAACTAGCCTACCAATACATCACTGATTCCAGAAACCCTCCTAACCTTAACATCGGATAATTCACCCAACCCTTCCCTCAGCTAGCTTCATTTTTATAGAAATCAACCACCATATGTATATATGTGTATATAGATGTACATAACAACAGGAATTTTCATTTAATTTTAAACAACAGTTGGCAACACTATTGTGGAACTTTTGAATTCGAACTGTAACTGCCAGTTTTCTTTCTTCTCCCTTCTGATAAAGTCCCTAACTGGGACGAAATATTAAGTTTTTCTGTGTTGTGTCATGTGTTTTATGTGTAATCAAGGCTAATCTGGACTCTATCTACCAGGTAAGCTAGCTGATCCCTATCCTTGTACATAAAAATTTTATCAGTACAGTTCACCTTTGTACTGTACCGGCTCACTCCTTGCTTTGCTATAAACGATCCACGCACGAGCGCTTAGTCTATGTGGACGGGCAAATGCAAGGTTAAAAGAGGCCGCCAACCTCTTTAAAAAAAAGAAATGGACCACCAAAATCAAGAACATCTTCTGTGGTCAAGGCAAAATCGTAAAAATCTTATTCTGTCACACCAAAACCATGAACGTCTTCTGCAGTCATAGTAATATCGAGATCGTCTTCTGCAGTCACAGTAAAATTGAGAACGTCTTCCGCAGTCATAGCAATCTTGTGAACTTTTTCCCCGATCCCAGTGGCATCATCATCGCCCACAATCTCGTACAAATCATAAAATATAGGTCTAGCATCTTCGTAGGTTAAACTATTGGTTTAACCCGACTTAACAAATATAGGAGACCTGCGGTCCCCTAATGATGGCACTTACTTGGACGTGACTTTACACAAGTACTCTAAAGCGGTCTTGGGCAACATGCTGAGGTTGCGGTTGTAGACGTAGAGCAGCGCGGTCATCACAACCAGTCTGTTCTGAGCTAGTAGATGGTCCATTTGAGGCAGAGGGCCCCACCTCACCAGCTTAGTGTTACACTCCTCTAGTCTACGTAGTGCAGCCTCTGTCAGTGAGGCCGGGGCAAGACTCATCGGCTATAATCAAAACATATATAATACTATCTAATAACCAACTGCTTTCAGCATCAGATATGACTCCTGGAACTGTGTCAAGTGATTTGATCAGTCACAGAGAAGTAAAGTACAGAGGAAACCTGATTATGGGAAATTCCTATCGCACACGCCACAGGGTCTTCCTCCACCGTGAGCGTTGTAGTACTTGAGGACGAGGGGTGGTGATGGACTTTGCCCTAGACACCATCACTAGTGCTAGACACCACTTGACTGTACCATGGAGTGCATCCTCTGTTCCTTACTTCTCTTTGGTTCAGTCCATACTTTAGCAATAAAATTCTCATAATGTGCCCTACTAAGTATCCATGATGAATAATTTAAAGTCCTAGACCCAAGAAGTTTGCTGTACAGAGAAAAGTGCAGTACAGTTTGAGGTTAGAGCCCTTGGAGATGAAAGAACAGGTAATCTCATACAGTACTCTATTTCTGAAAGAATTCCCACCTCCTCCTATAAAAAATAACTACTTAAACAGTTGATTTATATTGGCACAATTAACCAAAATTTTTCTTCAACTGCCTTATTTTCTGTAAGTAAAAATGCCTAATCAACCATTAAGTTATTGGCAAAACAGTGCAATACTAATTGTTAAGATTAGGGGGTTGGTAGATGCCAGTCCAATCCCATTTAAAAGATTGTTTATTTAATCATTGAGCATTTTCTCTCATTTTGTAAAATAACTGTTGCTTAAGATTTGAATGTTTTCAATGTATCATAATACCATTCGATTAAGCATAATATTCAAGTGTGACGAATCCATACCAAACTGGGATTATTTTCAACTAGTTTTCATCATACTATTTCATTACAAATAGTTTTTCAGACATTTCACTGTATTGGTGGACACGGTGCAACACACCAACACTGCTATAGTAGGTACTAGACTACTAGACATACCTCGTGGTATATGGAAGCTTGTGCGAGGGAGGGCAGACGGAATGATATTTCCCTCGGCTGTCCCTTCTCGTTGACCACCTCCAGGTTGTATATGCCGACCAGCAGCGCTTCCACTCCTCGACAACTCTGCACGAAAAACATCAATTTGCAAACAGGGCATTAGAACTTGGCTACCTCTAGAGTTTGGCAGCATCCTACTGTGTCTTGTCGGGTATTTTGATAGGAGGATGATAAGGTTTTGGTAGTGACAACAAATTTACAGTAACAATAATATTAATGCCATCAACCTGATCAACCGGTTCTGCATTACTGTCATAAAGGGATATAAAATGGACATTTTAGCAGATTTTTAAATTTCTTAGTCGATTAAAAAACCAAGTTTAAACAAATACATCCTCAACGACCAATTCCAGTAAAAGTCTAACATTATTTTCAACACTGAACTACGAGGGAATGTATCTGGATTGGCTGGCCACCACTAACCACAAAAAAAAAGACCAGATAGGTCTGATTTGATAGGCCTAACGTATTAAAAATATCTATTTCCATCTCATATATTGTGTGTAGTGAAATGAATCTATAAAGACCCACAATAATGGGTAACACAATATTAGTTGCTGGGCAATCTCAATCGTTGGACTATTTGACAGAGGTAAGACAAACCTGTCTTAAAATGATATTACAGATTGGATTAGGTTTTTTTTTTAACTTTATTTGATTTACAATCTGTTCAAGTTGAACAATAAGCAAATGATATAAATAGTAATACAAAAATAACTTGAAGAACATGAGCTAGTGATTGACCACCGTCAACACTAGCTAACAAAGAGAATTTTGATAACACTTAGCCGAATCTGAATGGTAGGTCCAATATCGTATGTCGCTTCAGTCTGTAAATGGTGTTGTGATTGTCCAATAAATTAAGTGCAAGATGATTTGAATGATTTTCCAATTTTATAATGTATTTTTCACTAGATTTTGTAATTTCTTCTTTTACTGTTCGAATTTGAAGATCATTGTGAAGTGTTCTGTTGGTAACAAACCAAGGAGCGTTGACAATTTTACGTAATAATTTTGATTGGTAACGTTGAATAATTTCAATGTTTGAGGTACTTGCTGATCCCCAAAGCTGAATACCATAAGTCCAAATTGGTTTTAGAACTGTTTTGTACAGTAACAATTTATTTTGTGTACTGAGTTGTGATTTAGATCCAAGAAGCCAATTAAGTTTAGTTGTTTTTAAATTTAGATGTTGTCTTTTAGTCCAGATATGTGCCTTCCAATTAAGCTTTGCATCTAGGTGCATGCCCAAGTATTTTATTTCTGTTACTTGAGGGAGGTGAATATTGTTCATGGATACTGGAGGACATGTAGCCTGATTTAAGGTAAAAGTAATGTGTGCTGATTTTTTATTTTCATTAATTTTGAACCTCCATGTTTTAAACCAATGAGAAATTTCATCTAAGTTTAGCTGTAAATTTTAGAAATAAATTATTGTACCCACCTTACTCTCGCTGTGAGCGACGGCATTGAGGTAGACATAGACAAGGGTGGGGAGGAAGAGCAATGTGAATCTCTGCAGGTCTTCTTCTCTAGACCGATAGAAGCCAAAGAGTGCAGTACACACTGGGTCTATCAGCTGGAATCGATTAAAACACTGTTATACACTAAGCCTGTTGCAACAACTTGGTTTCAAACTATTGAAATCCAGGATTATTTATTGATAAGACTATTCTGATGTTTAACTCTAATCCGGTGATGGTAGTATCTGATGCTGCGGACCAAAAAACCTAGCTCGGTTTGCACCGAAGTACCGCTACCGACAACTCAATTCTCATTACTAGCAATTCTCCCAAGAACCATAGAGTATTAAGGTACCAAGGAAACTTATGGGACAACCTTGTACTTTCAGCTCTAGTCTATTGTGCCCGAATTATGACAAGTGAGGAGGAGCCTGAATGGCAAGTACTTTGCGGAAATCCTTACCGTACAGAGCACAGGGTCTTCCTTCACCGTGAGCGATGTAGTACGCGAGGGGGGCGGAGAGAGGACTTTGCCCTAGACCCAGATATCGTTGCCAATGGGCTAATTAATGAAGCTATTTAACAAAAGGTTAGACAGTAACAAGACCGGGGTTTGGACCGTTCCCTTGTAAAAACCATAAAAATTTCAATGGCTTAGATTTGCACAAACAAAAAGGACTTGATCAAATTACTTAACGATTATTGTCTCAACTCTGATAATGTTTAAACCTTCAATTTCGAGTGATCTTCAGATAGTTGTTTACTCACTGAGTGATATTTGTGCCTCTCCTCAAGGACGTTGTATATGGCTGCTATAATCTCTGCGTTGTGGTGAACAGTTACAGCAAACGTGTGTACCTGCAAATGACAAACAAGTTGTAACTAGGAAAAATTAGAAAATAAAATAACTTGAAACAGTAATTGGATATCATTTTTTACATTGAGTGTTGGTTTACTGCAAACATTATTGTGAGTAAAAATAACTGCAGAAAGAATGACTGCAAAAATATTTTGGCTAAGCTACATGATATAAATTGTCACATTATAATTTTTAATGATAGTACATATTTTACTGCAAATAGGATAATATTGTATTACAGTACATTGTGGTACCTATTGTGTTACTTAAGACTACTACAGGGACAAATCCTTAAAACCTAAAGACTTTTATCGTTATGAAACACATTTCCCAGAAATCTAAAAACTACAAAAACTAATCTATTAAAGAAGATAAGGTTAGAGAACTTTCTCCCATTACACATAGTAAACTTACGGTATGTATTGTTTTAGTTTAAGTTTAAGTTTTGGGAGGAAATATCCGTTTTGGGCCCCTCTGAAACCAAAAAAGTGGTTCAAAGTGATGTTCAGTCTGTGTGTCTATGTGTGTGGATGTGTACAGACCCACAGACTTACAACTGGGTTCCGATTTTTATGAAAATATGTATATGGGTACTAATTCATAGTATCGCCAGGAAATGTTTTTCATTTTTTGGAATTTTGGATTTTTATGGCGATTTTCCCATATGAAAAACCCACCTTGAATCTTCACAAAAACAGCAAAACAATATTATTTAACATTTAATATGTTATGGCCCTAAGTCAAAACCAAACGGTACTACCACCATTTCTGTATCTAAAGATATTGCAATTTTTGTGATTCCCCATAAAATCTCATAGTTACTCCCACCGCTTACCCATGACAAAGTTAGTTGAATAATGGGAGAAAGTGTATGTACTGTATTGCTGATACCGTTTATTCAGTTTAAAATGCATCAAACCTGGCGTGGTCAGTAAGTGTACCTCCAACCACACCTTAAGAAGCTTAGTGAAAATAAGTATTTATGTACGTGGACGTATTTAATACTAACCTCGGCTGGACTCAGGGCAGCGTAGTCTGCTAGCCATTCTCTCACCAACTGCTCCGTCATAGCATAGCCCCGTGTCTCCTGTCACCTATATAAAATAAATATTGTTTACAACAACTGTAGGCTACTTAGTTTAAGGTAAGATCTTTTGATGGTACGTTGGCTTTTTCTGTTATTATCTCACTTGCATATCCTAGGGCTTGGCTCACGCCCAAAGGGTTTAACACATTACTCCATGAAAGTCCTGGCATTACTACATGGATAATTGGTGATTGGCGGGATTTGAACCCTTGACCTAAGGGACCAAAGTTACACCCTACAACTAGACAAGCTACATGGGTTTACTAACTTATCATGTGTTAAGGTTGTATGATGAGAAAAGAGGGTTTGTATCCTCTACAAATGAATTCTTATACCTTGTGGCATATATCGATTCGGGATCGAACTCGTAACAGTAGCGAGAACAAAAAAGCGGTTAGCGTATGGGTCTTGGAGTAAGATTTGATTTCATAGCAAGAGCAAGGCATTTGGGGTAATTTTACGTTGAAACCTGGCTTTAACTAATAGCCTATTCGTAATCCTTAAACAATACCTGCACAGGCTATTCAAACAAAAATACAAATTTTTGAAATTTAAAAACGTAGTGTTGTATTTATTAATTATTTTAAGTTAATTATATTTAGAACTCTAGAACTTCAGTGCAAGAGGGGAGGATTTGATTTCCTTCACATCTACAAAAAATATAAGTTTGGACTGCTATTTGTAAAAGCGTTTACCTATTCTCGTCAACCAACACCTATTTTTGGCATAGTTCTTTGGTGTTACCTATTGTAATTTATTACTGAATGGTATAGTAAATCTCTTGAAAACCATCTCTTAAAAATGCGACAGCAATAGAGAGCAAGAATAAAAAACCAACCTATTTCATTTCACTTCAGTAATAAATTGCCACAAACTTTTAAATAACTTACAAAACAAACTATAAATAAAAATAATAGTGTTAATTAGCTACATCCTAAACTTAAAAATTGTGACTAAATTAAAAATAAATTAATAATTAACCACCTCTTAATTTACAGATCAAAAGTAAGGTTACACTTAGGCCTACTGGGAAGAAAAATCAATTTATGTTGATGTAATATCAAATTTATATTTAACTCTGTTTAAAATTAACTGAATAATGATAAAGGAAGGAACTGTTCATGTGTTATGTTGATAACCTCTTTGAAGCTTCGGTAAATGTTATCAAGGTTGAAACATATCTCTGACAATGGGACTCAATGAGTCATCATATTATTGTGTTAGAGTGAGTCGTTGAACAGTAGTTTTATATCATTAAATTCAACCCTTTTTATATCTATTTGATTTTTTTATACTATAACCTTTTAGGTTACAGTTGATGGATTATGGCAGATAAACTATTGTCATTCTACAGACTTAGAAAACAATGTTCTTGATCATTTACAGTACAGCTGCTCTTAAGTAAAATCAACATCTGTTTGACTCTAATAGCTATTTACCTTACAAGAGTAGTAAGAGCGTTTTTACATCACGCATGTTGAATGTTGTGCAACGAGCGGAAGCGTGTTGCATAATTCACCTAAGTGATGTAAACACGCTCTTGCGTAACAAGTAACGTACAAGATTTTACCTGACCCGACAATATACAGGGGGTTACGTACAATATTTTTCATTATCCATATTTATCATCTTCTAACAGTAACGTTCTTTTACAAACAAAAGCTAGGTTAGGAAAATTCTTTAAAGCATAACAATATAAAACAAGCGCACAGCTGATTTCTAGCGTTGAACGTCGTTGGCTCCATAGAGGTATATCTTGTTAAGTTGAGCACTCAATGTTATTTAAATGGGTTTCATTACTTCACCGAGTGAATTTTTGAAACTTTACTTCACTCGTGAAGTAAAGAAGTAGTATACATCAAGCTTGGGATAGGGAAGTTTAACATGGAGGGTTAGGTAAACATTATTAACAGCATTAACATTGTAGATCGTGATGTGTTACCTAAATTAAATTAAACTCCCAACTTAAATAATGCTAAAACCGACTTTTCCCCAGACTTGACATACCTTAAATGTGAACCTGTCAGCGACAAAAAAAATAAACAAAATAATAAGTTCTTTAAATAGTAAGCATTCATCCAGCTATGATGAAATCCCAATGCCCTTAGTTCAACATGTTAAGAAATATTTAATAAAAACCCTTAGTACATTTAATAAATTTGTCTTTCATTAGTGGCTTTTTTCCAGATAAACTCAAAATTACCTAAATCAAGCCTCTTTTCAAGAAAAGAGATGAATCAACTATGTCAAATTATAGACCATTGTCGCTGCTACCAATAATCTCTAAGATTTATGAAAAAGCGATGTATAAAATAGATTAATAACTTTTTTGGAAAAAAATTATATTGACAAAGAGCAGCATGGTTTCAGAAAAGGGCGGTCTGCTGTAACTGCAGCGGTTGAGTTCATAGAATCTGTAATAAATTCAAATGAGGGGGAGAAAAGGTTGAAGGGGTTTTATTAAATGTAACTAAGGGTTTTGACAGTGTCTCACATTCTTTACTTATTAATAAATTGGCAAAACTACAAATTAAAGAACCTATGTTATCCTGGCTAATAAGTTAGTTAACAAATAGAAAACATTTGAACTAGTTTACAACAATCAAAATAATTCAGTTATACAGAAATCAAAGATGAAACTAATTTTGGGCCCACTTTTATTATATATATAAATTGATTACTTCAAGTCATTTCTGGTAATAAAGGAAACAAAATTTGCATCTATGCAGATGATGCCAATTTTAAAATAAGTGGCAAATCTGCCATAGAAATAGAACAATCTATTAGCAAAAATCTAAGTGATAGGGCCTATAAATAACTTCTTAAGTGATAATTAACTAAGTTATTGCTCAATATTTCAAAAACTAATTTAATGCCAATCAGCGCCACCAAGAGAGAAAATAATTTGTTCAAATTAAAAAAAAAAACATTTGAAGTCACTACCTCTATACTCTATAGAAGAATATATGTTAAATTAGTGTTTTATTTCTATTAGACTTGTTTTCTTTATGTTAAGTTTTAGATATAGTTTTTGACGCCATTCCATGTACTGATTTATGTACAATATGAAATAAAGACGATTTGATTTGATCTAAACAGTTGGCTAAAAAGGGTTTAAAGCCAATCTCCTTCAGAAAGTTGAAAACAATTTTGATGAAACCCGTGAAGAGATTGTAGTGAATACAACATAAGTAAATGTTGAAAAATCTGGCCAACTACCTTACACCAATTTTGACATGAGTAACTTAATTCAGTAAAGTAGTTCTCTTAATAGCTTCCAAGATTATATCGAGGATAGCAATAAAACTCCTAAAGACCTCTTACTATAGGATCTTATTAAATTGTATGAAACTCATACTGTGCAGTATCAAACCAAACCTCATAGGTACCTGTGCAGTAGGGCCTATAACAGAATTGGGATTCAGCAAATCGTAACGCATTTCATGAACTATAATATATATTAAAAATAAAGCCTTTCTATTTACAAAATAAATTAGTAAAGCAATGGTTTTTATTTGATTGACAGCATTATAGGGTGTTTAGTCATATTTATATTTGGTTATTTTTATCCTAACCTAAAATACACTATAGAGCAAAGAATATATTTTGTTGGTAAAAATTAATATTCTGATGAGTATGTCTTTACTATTTCTGCAGTAGGCCTATTTTAGTTTTCAATATACTAAGTAGGCTATGTATGTTTTGACTCAAGTTAGCAGACACTATAAAAAATTACCTCAAAAAGCTTGTCAAAAAGTAGAAAAGTGCTAAGTTTAATTTAACAATTTTACATCATAATATAAACAATTCTGCTATGTGTAGGTGCGGGGGGGGGGTGGGGCGGGGGTCGCTCTATGCCTCAGTACTGGGCCAAATTCAACGTTCCGCCACTGCAAAAATTGCCATGACAACACTGCCTAAGTTATAAGTTAAGTTAGGCTATGCTGAAGTGTTTGACTCTCAGGAAGTATTTTTGCAATTCTTGATAGGCTAGGCTAAGTCTATAGGCCTGGGGTGGACTTCCGTATCGGTTGGCACAAACAAAAGAATGAAAATATCGATCGATATATCAATCATTCGATAAACTGTTTGGTTAGTTATGTAAGGTTACGGTAACCTAAACCAAATTATAGGCCTATATTGAATGAAACAATCGAATAATCAATATTTTCATTTGGTTGTTTAAGCCAATACAAATACGGAAGTCTACCCTAGACCTGATGGGTACCGTTTCTTAACTGGGCTATGCTAATATTGATTGAAACTATCAAATTGAAAATATTGATTAATAGATTACACTTTTAAATACATCTATTATAAAATAAAATTATCATAACCAGGTTAGGTTATGTTAAACCAACCAAACTTGCTAATGGTGAAAAAATCGCATGAAGGTTTACTAATGGAATCGATAGTTTCAATCGATATTAGCATACTTACTTACTTACTTGATACTTGTCTTCTTTATCTTTGACCGTGGTTACGGATTGATAGCGTCAAATTTTTAATACTATATAATAAAAACATATATTTACAACATAAATACTAAGGCTGTGGTGGAAATTTCAACCCGGCATGAGAGGTTCCTCTACCAACTCTTGCACACTATAGAAGGGCCTTTGGGGTAGACTTCCGTATCTGTTGGCACAAACAACCAAATGAAAATATTGATCGATATATCGATTATTTGATGTATCGTATGGTTAGTTAGGTAAGGTTAACCTAACTAACCGAAGGATATATTGAATGAAACAATCAAATAATCGATATTTTCATTCGATTGTTTGTGCCAATAGATACGGAAGTCTACCCGGCCTTTGCAAGAGAGGATTGCTCACTGTCGCTTTAAAAGCTTTCAGGTCTAAGTTCCTGACTCTTTCGGGCAGGGTGTTAAAGATCTTTATAGCAGAGTGTGGGTAGCCCAGTTAAAAAACTGTACCCGACCTGATTCAGACCTACAAAAGTAAAATATATCTACTTTTCATACCTAAGCATAGTAAAAGCCAAATTCAATAGACCTACTCCTTGCATCTCTATCCTATCAATTGAATAAGCATGTCCTATAAAAATCAAATAGGCCTATGATTTAGGTAACACAGATAGTCCTACCCTTTTATAGTTAAGTGTCTGATAGGTTTTGAAAATACTACTCAAGTAATGAAAAGCATTAAGTAAAAGATCAAGTCATGTCAATTTAAGTCAACTCATTAGATCTAAACCACTTGTATGCCATCACTTGTATTTAGGACCTAGGAAAGCCATAACGAACTTACAAACGAATTCTGCCCTAACACTGGCACTTTGAGATTAATCACAAGTAATTAAAATACTCAATTGAAATAAGTTAGAGAAAATAAAATCAATTACATAAAATTGGGTAGCAAGAGCAAGACCTACCTCAACTAGTGAATTTGGTTCGATTTTGACGATTATGTTTGACTAAAATTTCGACGTCTGCTTTAATCAGGTGCGGCAACTACAGTCGTGAGATTGTGAAATAGTCTTGAGATTAATGTCTCAGAAACGTTGATTTTAGAATATTATTATACAATGCAATACTATTTTGTAACACAAAATATTGTTTTGCTTTTGTAATAATACTAAAAACACACATTTAGCGATGAGTCTCACGGCTTATTAGTGGCATAGCTTATATTTGGGGATTTGTGGCACTCTTTGTATAATGCAAAATGTGGCAAATTAAAAGTTAATCCCACGCAGGGGACGAATCTACGCACTACATTGGATTAGATATTTATCTTACTTCTTGAATACTTAATTACTGCATCCGTGAACGACAAAGTCGGAATGGAATGAATGCGTTAAAAATCATCATCAACCTTTTAATAAAAAAGAGTACAAACTTTCCTGCTCACATTACAAAGCTCTATGAAGAGAAACTCTCATTAATGCGTGGCAGGTCCGATCATCTCCATGGTGGAAGCCCTTCCACCATGGATTCCGATGATTTGAGCCTTGAAATGAAAGTGTAAGAATGGATTTAAATGCTGATGGCTGTTACCATAGATAAAACATACTCCGTTAGTCTATGCTGTTACTCAGCCGGCTGAGTAGTGATGCAGGATGCTGTAGACCTTTCTACAGCATCGATGAATATCTCAAAAGAGTTCAAAGCTTTATGTATTTCCTCTCAACGGTTACTCCGTTTTACAGCGATTATGGTAGCTGATATAATAGTTTCTAACAGTTCACATAAGTACTAAAACAATAGTAACTATACTGTAACAATAAATATACAATAGATATAACAAATAATATAACAATAACAAAAGCATAAAGAGATTTGAACGCAAAAACAATAATTAGCAACAATTTCGACAAGATACAATTAATTGTAAATGTAAGAGCTTGACGCTTCAATCTCGGATGATTTAGACAACAATGAAGAGCTGAGAAGGTAAATTAATATGATGCCTGAGATTATATGAAGCCTGACTCGTTTAGAAAACAAGAAACAGCGAAAGATATAATAACAGTAATAATTACAATAGGGTTAACGTAAAAGAACTATGCTGAAATAATATATACAATCAAATTATATAAATAAGAAAAAATGTTAACCATTGCAAACCATGCTGAAATTGGTTATTCTCACACAGCAAACAAAGCGGCAAACCATCCAATTTGTCTTGGCAAGAACTTGAATGACTAAAATAATGTTTTCACTGCAAGGACTCAAGTCAACTACATTTTTTAATTGACAACTTATTGTATTGACGCCTTCTTTAAGATTGCAAAACAAAGTACTCTGCTACACAAAATTAATTTCTTGCTAAAGATCGACATTCAAATTTTCATTTAAACTTGTACATTTCAATTGAGGAAAAGTCATAGTTATAATATTTTGATGGTTAGCAAAAAGTCGATGTAACAAACCCGTTAGTATCCTAACACCGATATGTTATATCATTTATCAACGATAGAAAACATGTTTCTATAGAATAAGCGATCAATGCTCTTTACTAATAAGGATGACAGACAGTATAGGTATTTTTAATCTATGCCGATGCCGTTTTACGTTTGCCATTACCGTATTTTACTACTCTACGCTTACAATTTCTTGCTATGCATGCCTGTGTCCCCCCCATGTCTGTCTGCTATGCTCTGCTTACTTTCACTTATGTCAGCGTCAGCTTGTATTTGTGTCTGTCAAGTCAAATATTGATATGGATGTAATTAATGAACAGCAAGAGCAAACCAATTCTGAATATAAACCAATCACTGTAGAAAATCTTGATGTTGATTTTCTCCCTATTATATATGACATTATTAGAAGGTAATATTACAATTGTTTCAAATGATTTGTTTATAGGTTATCATAGATTTATGTTTTTTTTCACGTCACAGTGTCGTCCTTTGCCAAATTTTTATCTTTCGAAGGTTACAAGCTAACTCTGATTTTTCTGTGGGAAGAATCGCCGTACTCTTTTCCCCAGCTTTATTATCAACAGGTATTTAAATTGCAATGCTAACTTTAAAGATTTTCTTATTGTAGTTCATCTATGTATCACATAAACATAATTAAAATAATGTAATTGTTTTGATACTTGAATCCTGCATCTTTGACAGATCTAGTCTGATAGATTGTGTCATAATTTATAATATAATAAAACTACAGTATATTCAATATTTACAAAACCATAAAATTAGGCTACTATAAAAATCTTCTATTGGATGGCAAGGCGGACATACACTATTTTGCAAGGGGCTCATCCTCAAGTTCTTTAAGGGAGAAGAGCGGTCTATTAACAAGTATCCCTTTTAGTGCCCTCTTGAAGGAGGGCACATCCATCTCCCGCATCTGTGTAGGCAGAGTAGGCCTATTATATATTCTAATCGCTGAACGGGGATAGCAACTCAAGGTACGACTGAGACGGCAGCGGGGAACGTCGATGTTTTGGGCCTTCCTAGTATGGTAATCGTGCACCTCCTCTCTCTTACTGTAATCCCACAAGTTATTCTTCAGTAGGATCAGCATATCCAGAACATACTGACTATATACTGTGAGCACCCCTAGTTCCTTGAAGATTGGCCGGCAATGGTCCAAATACCCAGCAGATGTGACAATCCTCAAGGCCATTTTTTGTAAAAGTAGTATATCCTCAGCTGCTGAGGAGTGCCCCCACAGTACTAGTCCATAAGTCACATGACTGTTTTAGTCCTTAGTTTCCAGTTCCACATAGTAGGCTGAGGCTATATCAAGGGGTGATTTATAGGCATATTAAAATTTCCTTCATAAAAACAAACTAATAGGGGGTACAGTTTCTTAACTGGGCTATGCTAATATCGATTGAAACTATCGAATTGGAAATATTGATTAGTATATCTTTTGATTACATCATAAGTACCTAATAAAAAATGAAGGGTACAGTTTCTTAAATGGGCTACCCTAATATTGATTGAAAATATCAATTAAATTGATATTTCCCACTATATAAATTATAAAATGAAACTGTTATAACCTAACTTTAACCAAACTTGCTGATGATGAAAAAAATCTAATAAAGGCTTAAGTTAGGCCTACTAATTGAATCAATGTAAATCGATACCTATTAGAGTAGCCCCGAGAATCTGTTGTCTAGGGAATGCCATTACCGTACGGTCCTCACAGTTCTTATTAGGTACCTTCGGTAATAGGTTCCAGATCTTTCTAGAACCGGGACCGATTTACTTTTTTGTTTTGATGTCCCCAGAGGCCAAAAACACCATCCGTTCAAATTCATATAGGTGTGTCCGTTAGCAAGTTAACTCAAGCAAAAATAATCAGATTTTGATCAAATTTGGTATTAACGTGTAGGCCTAAAATTTTATTAGCTTTTAACAAAGTAATTAATGTTCCAATTTTGATTTTCAGTGTGGAACGAGACCCCCATGATAATGCTCAGAAAAATTCCCAGTCCCAGGACATAAGCCAAAAGGTTATCGAGCTTCATAAAAAGTTGGAAGTTGCCAAAGAACAAGTGAGTATAAATTTTAGAGTAAACTCGAGGAATCAAAAATTATTTTTAGGTAAGGAGTAGAAAGAGTTTTGAGAAGGTTGTGGGCATTTTGTATAATGGCTGTGTAATGATTCATCAGTTTCGTTTGAGACAGTGATAAAATTTAGGGAAATTTTGCTAGTGAATAAAGTTCAGGGAACTTATGCCTAGGTTTATGATCCATGCCGTTTTGGTTGTAGTATCTGTGGCTTACAAATTTGTTGAACTTTCATTGAACTGATGCTGTATAACCTGCAAAATTGCCATTTTAAATAGGCAGGTCATTAACAAATGAAATATTTAAAAAAAATTATGTGAAAAAATTATACTAATTGTAACCATTGGGATTTTACAGATCCGCAGACTTCCCGGAGTTGAATATAGCAAAGAAGAACAACTCGAGAAACTTGAAACTTTACGAAAACAGTTGCGATTGAAGAGGGAACTTCTTCAGAAGTATAGGAATATGTACTTACTTGACTTCCTAAAGCCCTAGATATTCTTTGGATATGATATTTCGTTTTCTTCTTCGTTATCTGGCAAATAACGAACAATTAGTGAACAAACTAGCCGACTCGTATCCTATCAGAAGAGCAGCCAGATTCTTCATCAAGTTCATAACTCAAACTAAAAGTGTAGTTGATAGTGAAGTGGCCTCTGGTAGACTTAAAGACATTAATTTGTCACACATGAAAAACCTTGCGGCTAAACTAGAAAACCAACTAAAGCAAATAAAAGAAGATTTAGAAAAACAAGTTAAGAAGTAGTATTTTATGAAGTAACGAATGACTTTGGTACCGTAGTGTTTAATATTGTTTGTTGAACCTTTATTTTTTGTGAAATCTCGCAACGATGAAGAGCCATTCGGTGATTTTTATCGACAACCAGTGGTCAGAAGATTACCCTGGGAAAAACAAATACTCCAACAATAGTTTTATAGGATGCCTTGTTAACTATTTTACTGTGCCGCCATGGGTTTTGCCGAAACGAATCGCGTTGGCATTCATGCCACCTATTCTAGGAGACAAGTCTAGACGAGTGTATGTGGACTTTGTCGGACCGTGTCTTGCGATTTTGACTCTAGCTGCTATCTTGCACTATGGACATTCATACAAAGTGCAATCTGCAGCTTTAAATACAAGCCCTACTGAAATTTTGCTTTATTATTGCGCTATTTTTCCTCTGATTACGTTTGTTTTGGCTAAATTAGGCCGTGCCACCCTTGGGTTCTTGGACATAGCGTCTCTTCTCGGCTACGGTCTTTACGGTCACATTTTTACGTTGGCCGTTTCACAACTGTTTGACCACGAAAGGAGCAACGGAGTGTTTTTCACCAATCTGTTCGTGTTCGGAGGACTGAGTGGTCTTCGCATTGCTCTCGTACTGTTAGCCTCCATCCCTCGCCCAGCGTCTAGATTACTAGTCTGCAGCACTGCCACCATCGTTCATCTAGTGTTTGTGATTTTTGTCCACTTTGCTTACATGCATTCTACATTTGTTTATGGTTCTGGTACTGGTAAACACCATATATGAAATATAGTCTTTTTGAATTTTTTTGCCTTAATTAATCTGATTTAATCAGTGTAAATTTTGCGACTTTCACCATGTCAATTTATCTTTTGTCTACAAGAAAAAATTCAACTTGAGAGACTTATAACTCAAAAGTGTTTTACGTTTTTGTGGTGAAGGTTTTAATTTTTATAAATTAAATAGGGAATTAGCAAACATTCTTGTCAGTAAAAGTTATGTGTTTTATGTTAATATTTATTTAGCCTTCCAATTTTGCGTGAACACAGTTGAATTGTTGTGTGTGTTTTCCTTGGAATACTTGTATTTTGGTAAACTGAAACAAACCTGAGGTAGTAAGGGAGTTGTTTAAACATACTGAAAGTAGTTTGAACCTCGTTGATCAAATACAATATTGTGATTATATTTGTGAAACTATTATTTAATATAACCAATGAAAATTATTATTTGTATTACCTTTTTAAATCTACTGTTTAAGTTTTCACTAACCTACCTTTTTTTGTGAAAGTGTTTGATTTACTACCGTTATCATGGCTGTGTAGATTTAATCACATTGTTTTAATCTGTCATTTTTTGTTTCTGAGTTGGATAATGAATCGAATAACAAATAAAGTGAATCCATTTCACTGGTGTCTTAGACTAATCATTACCAATCCTCCAATATCTTTATAATATAAATAAAAGTTGTATTATTTATAAGACAAGTAGTATTATTTTATAGACAAGTAGTATTATTTTATAGACAAGTTAGTGTCGATAATATAAAATACCCCCGCCGCAGCAAACCTGCCGGACTAAGCGAATTTTCATTTGTCTGAATTGATTTTCAGTTAAATATATTTTAATAACATTAAGTTTAACGAGTACCTAGGTTTGCTGCTACAAGGAAACTAATAAAGTGTGTTTTTGAGTAAAATATTGATAGCTTAGTACAAAATAAATAAATTTGCCAAGTTTGATCAAAATATATTCATAAACAAGCAAACTACAACATTTGACAATATTCTTCATAAGAATAACATGGGAATTTTAAATTTAAAATTTTTTTAATTTTCTCCGATACTAATAATCGAACAAGAATACTTTTATATACTAAATTATTTGTTTTTTTCAGCTCTTTAAAAAGGTCTGAAGAGAAATCGGGAAATTTTGTGTTTTGAGGGTCAAAAGTGAGAAAAACCAATTTTTACCCTATAAAACCCCCCGTAAAGCCCCGTTCCCATGGTCCGATCGTGCTGGTTCGCGAACTCATTCAAGTTTATCCCACTTTACACCTTTAAACCAAATTTCATCAAAATCGGACAAAAATTACTCAAGTTATCGCGTTCACGGACGTATATATATATATATATATATATATAAGTCTATATATATATACATATATAAAAATTTGAACAAATGGTGTTTTTGGCCTCTGGGGACATCAAAATGAAAAAGTAAATCGGTCCCGGGTCTAGGTCTTACCATGCCACCTACGGTAATAGCTACTTCCCTATAGGGAAATTCGCTAAAATTGCCAAATCTTTTTGATTCACTCTTATGTTATGATTTGCCTATTTATTTGTAGCGTTGAAATTGAATTTCAAAATTTCTACTGTCAATCTTGTTTTTTTAGATATGCCTAGACCTTATTTAGAAGTCTGAGAGAGTTTTCTCAATTTTTTCCAAAGAACCCTAAGGAATAAAAAAAAAAACTAATTTAATTAGCGAAATTTAAACTGTATACTCTATAATATATTATAAAATAAATATTGGGATCTAAGATGGTCCCAATAATTTTATTTTTTTAATTTTATGAAGGATTGAAAGAAATCATACGATACAAGAAATACAAATAAATCATACATTTTTACTACAATTACAAATCTCTATACACTGAATACTTCTGCATTAGTGTTATTTTCTTACAGAGATATAATAGACTATAGTTCTTAGAGTAATGACCAGAATTGTTCTATGAAGACACATTCAATTGAAACATTCATGAAAGGGTTTAAAGGAAATCCACCAAAACGAAACGACAACTTTTCTCCCAGAAATTAGAATAATAATCAACATTACATTTGAGTAAATTAAAGAACCTGCTTATGTATTTCTTACATTTTTAACTTCTCTCCCTTTTTAGCTATTTTGAGTGTGATGGTTTATCTAAACTTTAAAACGTATATTTCGATATTGAAATGTATTTTTCACTCAAAATAAACAGAAAAAAATAACTACAATTATGAAAAGGTTAGAAAAAATGTGTACATTAGTGGAAATAGAATGAAGTAGCCTATTAAAGTAAAAGTATTTAAACAAATTTAAACTCAAATGAATTCAGGCGAGGTTATCACAGTTATTTTTAATTATTATTTCAGCATTATTTCCAATGTTAGTCATAAACGATTGCTGTTTTTTTTTTCCTTTTTATCCTTCATTATTCAATGTGTAAAAGAGGCATTAAGGTTTAAAAAAAAGTAGTAAGGAGGGTAAAAAAAGATAAACCTTTTATAATGGTAAATTGCAGTTTGAGCAATGTTACCTACTTATAACTTAAGAACTTGATCAATCAAATATTTCGGATTATAAACTAAGGAAGCATACTTAACAAAATTAACAATACAGTAAACACAATTAGGTACAGTATATCCGTACTAACGCCACCTATGGGATCAGTACCATGGTCGGAACAGTGAAAAGGTCAAACTATCCCAGATACCTAACTGACATTACTGATCGCGTAGGACGTGGATGACCGTCAGAGACGTTTAATATTTTGCCACAATCGCGGCGGATGACGATATATTTTCCTGTGAGCCGAGAAAACAATAATGGTGTTTACGTGATTGCAGGCCAGGGGGGATAAACAACATTTTTTCAGGATACGACGATCTCCACAAGACCAAGGCAGATAGTCATGTTATTACTGCAATGACATTGTCGCTGATAGGATTATGTGATGAGTCGGACCTGCCGAGCTTGGATTAGCAGGGTCTTATTGTATCTTAGACCCTGCCAAAAATAAAATAAATTACTGACTACTAATAAAATAAACCACTGTAATAACAAACTATAAACAAACATTTTACCATAAAGAAATAAACTCAGTAACTATAAAGCTTAATCTGATTAAGCTACCATTTAAATAGAAAATCTCTTCAGGGTGTCTACTACATTCTGGATAAAAAATTCATGGACAATTCCCGTACATTTAAGGACACTTTGCCGTAACCTTTGTCGGTGTCATTAGGCCTACCGAATAATTTTCCTGATTTGTCAAACTGTATTAATCTTGTTATTCACTGTAGTTGTACCAGAGAGAAAAGTAAATAATAATAGATAAGAGTTAAAAATTACAAAATAGAAATTTATTGAAAGTAAACAAACATAGGCCTACCTACACTTTAGGTAGGCCTAAAGCTTGTATAGTGTAACAGAGAAACGCAATCATTGTCTCCTGCGATAGCGACAAATATCTCCATCGGTCACATAAACTTCATAACATAGCTTATAATTTGGCATGATTCGCCCTGGCACAACGTTAGGTTCTTGACTACTTTTGAAACAACATCTTTAATGCATATTGTTACTCAATTCTTAGAACAAAATCAAGGTATGGATTATTGTATTTTCATTTGCAAAGTTAATATCGACACATAGCAATCATTAGTTGTTTATCTTAGGCTCAATTACATTAGTTGTTTATCTTAGGCTCAATTACATTTTCTTAATATATTTTACAGCTCTTTCAAGAATCAAAATACCCAGGCCTAGACCTAATTATTTAGGAGGGCCTATATAAACTGAGTAACAAACAATGAGGTTATAATAGCAGCAAAGTCACTATAATCATTCTAGTTCATAAGATTTAGATTGCTTAAAGCATACAACTCAATAAATAAATATATGGGAAACAAAAAACATTGAAACCTGAATAGCCAACAATATAAGACAAAGATACAGAAAATGCAATGACATAATTTGAAACCAAGCAGGCTTACATAGTGATAAAACATTAATACAAACAACAATGCTTGTGGTTTTGTCAATTGAAAGATAAAATGTCCATTAAAAAGAGGTTAACTTAAAAAAAGACTAGATTATTTACATGTTTAATATGAAACCATAAACAGTTTTTGGCACTAGGCACTGGCCGTGGCAAATTGAATCTTCAAGCCAAAAGGACAAGTAAGAAGTGAAATTTAACAGCCATTATAAAGCTATTATTTTCAGGATAAAATAGGTTTGGGATCTAATAATAATTACCCTAGTAATAAAAAAAGAAGTTGTAAAGGAATAAAAGTGACACAACTTTTATGAGCTAGCTGCTGAGTCAACAGTTCTTGGAAGTACTTAACTTGACACTTGATTGTCGTGATAAAATATTAATGGGTTTGAGATTGTTAATGGGATTTTTATTGCATAATTACTCTAGTAATAAATTATGAAAATGTAAACAAACATCTGATAAACCTTTTATGTGCTCCTAACCAACTAGCGATCAATAAAATTATGGCCCATTAAAAATTTAAGGACGTAGTCTGGCATTTAAGTACAATTCCCGTACATTTCATGGCCAGTAAAAATTTAAGTACAATTCCCGGTTTTCCCGGATTTCCCGGTTGGTAGACACCCTGCTCTTATTTTGTTTGAAACTAACATATTCATAAATTTAAATTATCTATCATAAGTAATTTGAAAACAAAATACAAGTTTTAAATGGGAGAAAGTTACCAATAGTAATATTAGAGCCACACACATTCATTTTTTATTGGACACGAGATTCTGCAACCTTTTAGTTCTTAACAAAGTTAGGCATACAAGCTTTATTCGGTTGTAAATATATGAATATATTTTTAAGGTATTTATTTATTAGCCTACTTGTATTAAGAAATTGTTACATAAAGGTAAACGTTATGGAAAAAATCTTATAGGACATTGTCTTTTCTTTTTATTCCCAATCTAAATATCAGATTGGATTGGACCCTGCCTTTCTTCCTAACTTCAGCCGAGTATTAGGTTTACAATTGATTAGTATTCATAGAAAAAACAATGATACTTTTTAAATGCTATCACTTTCCACTGCCTGGCATTTTGCAAAACAATTCGGTACATTAATTTATTCCATGATGATAAATAGATCGTAGAAAAATACTTCTAGAGTTCTTTAACTTTGGTAAGTCTAGCTGTTTTTGTAGTTGGCTATTAATTTGAGTTTAGGTTAGGTTATCATTCATTTGTTAAGCATAGATTAAATTTTTTGAAATAAAACCTATGGGACTCATTTACACTCAACAGACTCAACTGCATGTTAATAATTCTATACCACAATGCAATACAGCTTGACTGACAAATCCACATGACTGCAACACACGTTAAATGTGTATGGCCCAAATTAACGTATTAACATCAACTTATGACAAAGAATTTTTTGTTGTTTTATCGTCCGACTCCGCTACACCATCACTGTCTTCATCAACCGATTTCATGAGTTGATTTTTATTATTTTTTTTACTCTGACCTTTGCGCTTTAACTGTTTTTGTTTGCCACGGACAACTTTTATCTTGTCTTCTGGGTCACTCTCACACTTCTTTTCAGTCTTTTCTTCCTTGGTTTCATTTTTTTGTTCCTTCTTTATAGGACTACCTCCCTCTGCATTTTTTATTCTCTTACTAAGTGGCATGTCACTATCGGAATCACTAGAGGTATCCATTGAAGAGGGTGGTGACATTTCATCAGAGCTTTCTTTCTCAGGTTTTATAATTTCCTAAAACATAATTGCCTTTATTAAGTACACACAAAATGTTTCTAGTTTATGTTATACAGCACTCTTAGACATAAGATTCTATTTTCAAAGAATAATCACAAGTAAGATGACTATTTTAAATAATTCATGTACTTGTACTATGCAGAAATTTGTATAAAGAAAACTGTGTTTACACAAAGCCAGTTGGCATGCAAGTTACTTGCCTCAGGAAACTTGAAATACACTAAGGCAAGTAACCTGTCTGCATAATGGTGTGCAACCATGGCTTAAACGGACAGGTAACCAAGCCAAGCGCATACCAACTGCAGACAATGTTCACAATTTCACCGTCACCAAAGAGGAAGTTTAAAAATTGTTTGTGACCGTTGAACATGTTCTTGATTTTACTGTGACTGTAGAAAACGTTTTTGATTTCTACATGATTGCAGACATGTTCAAAATTTCATTGAGACCCCAGAGGATGTTCTCAATTTAAACTTGACCACAGTAGATGTTCTCAATTTATATTGTAATGTGACCGAGGAAGACACTCACCACTTTGCCGCCATTATTTATTGACCGCAGACTAAATCAGGTTTTCCTTCAAAATTCCTGCATGATTGCTGTCACAATAAGTACATGGATAATTCCCGGTTTCCCTGATCTGTAATCTCTTAAAAGTGTCCACCATTGAATTAAGATCGCAATAGTGAAAGGCCTTACTCACCACCGGCTGTCTTAATCTCCTTCTCCTCCTTGGAAGTTTTGGAAGGTATTTTTCCGCCCCGAGCTGGACCCTTCTGATGTCAAAATCCTGGTCCACTCTTGTCACAGTTCTTAACCTGAAACCAATCTTCTTTATATTGTTTCCTTAAATTGAAAACCTATCTGTGTATTCTACTGAACACCCAACATTAAGGGTATACAATTGGACTAGCCGCCATACCCGTGCTTCGCAACGTGAAGAGAACAATAAGAGAATAACATGTTCTATAGATCTGTTGTATGAAAAGTTATTAACTCATAAATACACGCAAGGCCACACTAAAAAAACAGGCCGTAATGCTTGTCAAGCATGACAGAAGACGGCTATGACGTAGGTATTTATTTTCCAAGGAAAGATTAAAACAAGCAGCTGATCACAAACGGCAAACATTACGTCATTGCCGTCTTCTATCGTAACGTCATGCTTGACGAGCATTACGGCCTGTTTTTTTTTTAGTGTGGCCTTGATACACATCCACAATTTTGATAAAGCATCAATAAATTTTTAAACACACGGTTTATAACAATTTGGCTATTCTAATATTAAGTGTATTCATAAGATTTACATAGAAACTTTGTTGCAAGCCGTCAGGGCAGAAACCTAGGAGAATGTTAAAATAAAAAATGGCTATGTCCATTAAGCCTGTGGTATATTAGCTCTATTCATGGAAACAACAGTTAAATTGGTCAATTAGTTTTCACACTATTGACATAATCCAAACGTTCACATTTATAGAGTTCCTTCTATCCAAGTCATTGACTTGATCAATAATGCACTTTAAGTATTAACAGGCTACTATGTGAAACAAATGCATAGGAAGACACCATAGGCAAATTCTAGCTTTTTGTTAAGTTTAAATCCTAATAATTATCACGGAGACTTCTCGTCTGTCATTGAAATCCTAGCTTCTATTGATTCTATGTTTTCTAATGTACTTGGTTTTTAGGTGGGAGGGGGTCCCTAACACAAAGACAATTACCCCTGCCTTGAAGTTAAGTTCTTACTCGGTTTGTGGAACACAGATAAGCCTAATTTATAGAGGAAAAACAAAATGTTTATTCCGTTCTTGACTCTGGGCCACAGCTAAGAAAATAATCTTTAAATATTAACGATCTTTGTGAGGTTAGCATCCTTACCGGAATGGGAAATAGTCCAATCTGGCACGAGAAACACATACAACTTAACACTGTACACACAAAATTAGAATATTTTACGTTCATTAACAGCATTTTCAACTAATGAAGGTACGAGTAGAAAAGAGAGTTTAAATTTGCCAAATGAGATAGTTTAAGTGAATTTTTGTATTTCTTGGACCAGATTGGACTCTTTCCCCATTCAGGTAAGACACCCTCACAAAAATCCTAGAAATTAGGCTTCACCAAAAACTATGTTTTGTTTCACCATTCTTTAAAATTGTAATTTATTTTGATAGCCCGAGAAATGTGTTTTAAATGACAAATAGCAGCTAAAAAAACTCGGCAGACAATCCTCAACATGTGATTAGCGTCTGGTAAAACTTGCTACATAATATAAGGGTGTAGCATAGAGCACAAGGGCCTAGATTTTTTAGGATTTTTTGAGAGGATAGCAGGCTTACCTGAATGGGAAAGAGTCCAAACTGGCACAGGAAACACAAAACATAACTTTACACTATATACACAAAACATTAGAATATTTCACTGTCACTGACAGCATTTTCAACTAAGGAAGAGAGAGTTTTTTAGATGTCCAAAATGGTGGCCAGTGAGTTGTTGAGTCAGTGTTGCCAATAGTAGAATTCAAAAAACACATTTCCAGTTTATCTTATATGCACTATATATATATGAATAAATATGTAAGCCTGCTAGTTGGGTTGGATTTTGAAGTGGAGTGGGTTAGATGAAAGGTATTATCTAAGGTTTAGGTTTGGGGGTTGTCTAGACTTAGTAAACCATTGGTAGGACAGTTCCCATCTTCTAAGTTGTGACTGGTTACATTGAGGAGGTAGTGATTTGACTATTTTGGTTGTAAAGCAGTCATTGAAACTAGGGTTGTTGTGGCTCTGGGCATGTTGTACAACTGGTTTGTCTTTGTATCCAGTAGATACATCTTGTCTATGGCCATTCATCCTGGTTCTGAGGCTATTGGTGGATAGGCCTACATACTGTGCCTCACATTTGTTACATTGTAGTTGGTAGATAATGTTCTTCGTTTCACAAGTGTTGAAGCCTCGGATGTTGTAGTTTTCTTTGGTTGTGGAACTGGAAAATGTTTGGCTGGGTTGATTTATTTCACATGTTTTACATCTCTTGTTATCACAGGGATATGAACCATTAGGGCGTGCGTTGTTTGGGTTGTTGTTGGCCGGGTCAGGAACTTTTGGGTGGACTAGTATTTTTCGGAGATTGGGTGGTTGTCTAAAAACAATGTTTGGTGGATCTTTCAAAAAATTGATGGTGTGGTTGGAGGCCTTGAGGATTTTGAAGCCCTCTTTTAAAATGCCATTCAATGAATGTAGTCCTTGGTGGTAGTCCGTGACAAGAGCAATGTTTTTGCTATTTCGTTTTTCATTATTTGGTTGTGGATGGTCTTGCGCTAAGCGGATTTGGTTCTCCACCAGCTTTCTAGGGTAACCCCTTTTTATGAATGCGTCAGATATTTTGTTATTGAACTTGTTTAATTCATCATCGTTGCTGCAGATCCTTTTGCCCCTGATGGCTTGACTGAACTGGATGGATCTTTTGGTGTTCTTTGGGTGGTTGCTGTTAAAATGTAAATACTGTAGATGGTTGGTAGGCTTGAAGTGTACACCGGTTTGTATGAGTCCATCTTGAATATTTATTTCTAGGTCCAGGAAAACTATTGTTGATGTTGAGATGTTGCTGGTGAATTTAAGGGAACTGAAACTGTTAAGGCTGTCAATAAACTGTTTTAAGGAGTCTGAGCCTGAGGTCCACAAGATAAAAATATCGTCTATAAACCGGAACCAACACAAAGGTTGTATTTTTTGTGATTGTAGGAAACACTTTTCGAGTTTCCCCATGAACAGATTTGCGTAGGATGGGGCCATCCTCGTACCCATGGCAGTGCCTTTAGTTTGTAAATAGTTTCTACCTTCAAATTGAAAATTGTTTTTTTCTAGAATGAACTTAGCCATGTTCAGTAGGAAAGAAGTTGAGGGCTTAGTGTTTTTGGGGCGTTGGTCCAGGAAAAATTCTATAGCCGCTAGTCCATGTGTAAGGGGGATGTTAGTGTACAGGGAAGTTACATCTATGGTAGCCAAAATCGTCTCAGGAGGAAGAGGTGTTGGTATGGTAGTCAGCCGTTCTAAGAAGTGGTTGGTGTCTTTAACATGTGAAGGCAATTCTCTGACAAAAGGTTGCAGGTGAGAATCTAAATATGCCGAGATTCTTTCTGTGGCAGAATTGCAACTGGCAACTATAGGTCGGCCAGGGGGTGGAAAAACGTTTTTGTGTATCTTGGGCAGTATGTAAAATTGAGGAGTAGAGGGGTTGTCGTTTATGAGTAGTCTTATTGATTCAGGGGATATATTTTGGAGAGGTGCTTCTTTAACGAGCCACTGTGTGAGTTCAGTATTAAAATCGTTGGTTGGGTTTTCATCAATCTCTTTGTAGGTATCTTTGTCGGATAACTGTTTGTAGGCTTCAGCAGTGTAATCTTGTTTGTTCATAATTACAGTGGTGGATCCTTTGTCAGCTGGTAGTATCATAATGTTTCTATTATTTTTCAAGGATTTTAGAGCTGTTCTTTCTCCTGGAGTCAGATTGTCGTTTTTTGGCAGTTTCTTCAAGAAATTTGGGTCTGTGACAGTTTGCATTATGAAGTTTATGTACAGTTCAATCGGATGATCAGGCGGTAGAGGCGGTGGATCCCAGTTGGAAGGCGGTTTAAACTTCATGAGAGAATCATCGGGTTGGGGTTGGTTTTTTAGGGCGTTTGGAAATTGATGTATGTGGTACTGTATTCTAAGATTTCTCGCAAATGTGAAAATGTCCTGTCCTAAACTGAAAGGGTCCAATGTGTGAGTAGGAGTAAAGGTTAGGCCTTTAGAGAGCACTGATGTTTCATCCTCCGACAACTCATGCGAAGAGATGTTCATAACCGATTGATCGGAAATGGTAGTTTTAGGGACGGTGTTGCTGTCTGTTTCATCTTTTTTCACTGTGGGCTTTCTGTAGGGGACTTTTGGTAGTAAAGGTAATTGTCCTGTGGGAATCGGAAGATTAAAAATTGTGGCAAGGCTAGGCTTGTCTCCTATCAAAGGTGCGTTTTTTTGGTTTGGAGGTGAACAGTTAGCTTCAATGAATCCCTCATTTCTTCATTTTCCAGTTCCACAACCAAAGAAAACTACAACATCCGAGGCTTCAACACTTGTGAAACGAAGAACATTATCTACCAACTACAATGTAACAAATGTGAGGCACAGTATGTAGGCCTATCCACCAATAGCCTCAGAACCAGGATGAATGGCCATAGACAAGATGTATCTACTGGATACAAAGACAAACCAGTTGTACAACATGCCCAGAGCCACAACAACCCTAGTTTCAATGACTGCTTTACAACCAAAATAGTCAAATCACTACCTCCTCAATGTAACCAGTCACAACTTAGAAGATGGGAACTGTCCTACCAATGGTTTACTAAGTCTAGACAACCCCCAAACCTAAACCTTAGATAATATCTTTCATCTAACCCACTCCACTTCAAAATCCAACCCAACTAGCAGGCTTACATATTTATTCATATATATATAGTGCATATAAGATAAACTGGAAATGTGTTTTTTGAATTCTACTATTGGCAACACTGACTCAACAACTCACTGGCCACCATTTTGGACATCTAAAAAACTCTCTCTTCCTTAGTTGAAAATGCTGTCAGTGACAGTGAAATATTCTAATGTTTTGTGTATATAGTGTAAAGTTATGTTTTGTGTTTCCTGTGCCAGTTTGGACTCTTTCCCATTCAGGTAAGCCTGCTATCCTCTCAAAAAATTGCTACATAATATGTTTAATGTAGTTATTAGAACTCCACTGCTTAATTTAAATTTGTACATCTCACTTCCATGATTGAACTACTAGATTTTAGTTTAATCTCAAAAATTTTAGTCTTGGTCTTCGAGTAACTTTTGTGTCCTTGAATCGGTAAAAAACTATAGACGTTTTGGACGTGTTGTGGCAATCCCTCCGTAGAACATGCTGGTCTAGTGGTAAATCACCGTGCTTCAATGCTTACCTCTGTTGTTCACTGGTCACATAAAGGTCATCAGGTTTGTGGTACATGTTGTGGTTCTGATAGGCCTTCTGACTGTAGAACAGAGCGTCGCAGGTTGTGCATTTGATCATTTCGGGCGGCGCTTCGTCCCTTTCCTTCTTCGAGTGTTGCCTTTCCAGGTGTTTCTAGAGTGACAAACATTTATTTATATCAGAGTGTTGTTGTATAATAATGTCAGGATTTGTTAGTGTTAAATAATAGCCTACTAAAGTTTCAACTAAATGATAAAAAAAAAATTTCTACATGGAAATGATTACCAACAACATGTCTGTAGGCTGTAGGTAGGGCTTAATACGTATTGACTTCCGAGAAGAGGCAGAATAAACTGAGGGTGGCTATGAGGGACTAATATACATTTTTATCACAGCCACATTTACCAACCTGAAGGTTGAACTTGACAATGTATTCAAAGCCGCAGAGATGACAGTAGTACACGCTCTGAGGATCCCCGGCGTTGTTCACCTTTATCTTCTTGCTGGGGGGAGGCGTTAACACTGGACTGTACAATGAGATGATCCTGCAACCAGCATTGGCTTCATGAAAAACAATCAAACGGACAATCAGTGTACCGTATACAATAATTGACATTTGGATACTGAAGTATATACCACTTTTATATGCAAAATGACAGAAACTAGCAACTCTGAGTGGCTTAAATGGAACTAGCCTATTTTCTTTGGAACTTATGTACCATGGTGATGGTAAAATGTAAAGAAACATGAAGAAATCAATGTAAAAAATGTTACCACTTAAACTGATGGTGTCTCCTTACCGTTGATGAGTAGAATTTCGATGATAATCAAGAGCGGTTTTATTGCAAAAAATCGCCCCGCAGTCGTTGCATTTCACATTCGGATGAGATTTTAAAATAACATGTTCCGCCAGGTGTTTATCTCTATGTATCTGAAAAATAATCAAACTGTTGTGTTTTTCTTGGTAAATTTCACAATAGGTACAAGTTTTTGTTGAAAAGACTGGAAAATCATTGCTTGCTAAAAGTTATCACAAAAAGTTTCTTGATTGAGTTATTTTAGGTACATCTCAGTCAGAACTAGAATCAACACACAATGAGGTTGCAGTGTTTGGTTGGGTGTGTTGGAACGTATCAAACATATAAAAAATAATCAGGATAAACGTAAACTATATTGTGAAACCCACACTTACATTACAAGAAACAAAAGTAATATAAGTTAGATTCACTGAAACACAATCTTACAATGTTTTAAACTAACCCCTCAGACTCTGGTGCAAAGGCTTTAACTTAAAGCTGATACCCCATAGAACGTGATTATGGTTTTGTTGAACTTTTTTCGTTGTGCATTTTTACCATAGAAAATCATCAAAGATAATTTCTGATGGGTAATTAAAAATAAGTTTAGACAGAAGTAGGAAGAGGCTGTGGATGTAAGCCTACCTATCTATCCCCTGTCCATCTCGTACCGACCGATCCAGAGCTTGCAGCACTCCAAGTTACTAAAAAGTGCAGAACGTCTATATGTCCTGTACAATACCGAACGATCTAGTGTGCAGGAACATTCAGGGTGTCTAGTTTATTTCCATTGTAAAATTCAAGACTAATTCCAGACTTTTCAAGACTAATTCCAGATTTTTCAAGACTAGTTTTTTCAACAATTAGTGGGCGTTGATAAAAAAAATGTATCGATTTTCGATTCTTGATACCGATACCAATTTTTATAGCTTAACCCTCCGAGTGTCATGCGTCGCTGCAGCGACGCGTAACGCACTTTGTATAGTGTCGTGCGTCGCTGCAGCGACTCGCGAACACTGTTTACGGCGAAGGCTCTATGACTAACTGAATCGGACTGTACTGGATTGAGTTAGGTATCGTTCTGTCCGTAATATTCTAAGCTTTCTGCAGAGGTCTGTCTCTAAGCACTATTCATTTTAGTTCCGAAAATATTGTACGATGACTGATGTGTTTTATTACGTTTATCATTGTTTTAGTGTTAAAAATCAAAAGTAGTGATATACGTGGTGCATTATAAGAAGATTTAAGTGGTTTTGAAGTGCTGGTTGATGATCCTGAAGAAGTAGGTAGTGATATTGATGTAAATTATCAGCCAGATTCCTAGCTATGGTTGGGCTATGCATTCTTAGCTAAACGCTATGTACTGAAATCTGTTTTTTGCCCATAACTTTTTTATTTGCAAATCTACTTCCTTATATTATTATAGATTTGTAATCCTCATAAAATTTAGAACAAAGTGGCTATTTTCAAATATTTATAGGCCTATAATTTATACAATTTCATTGAGCGCAAACTTATTTTTTTTTGAAAATTTTCGAAATTATACATTTTTTTACCTAAAAAAAATTTTTTTTTTTTAATCTTCCTTATGTTTTATATATAATATTGAAGCCCAAGATTTTCCAAACAAAATGGTATATAGAACAGTATAATTAACATTGTTTTTAAGCTTCTCAGATCAGTTTTAATAAAACCTTGCAAATGAGCAAAAAATAGGCTGACATTAAGGCCAAAACACGTGACACTCGGAGGGTTAACCAAATTTTCTAAATAATACTACACCAACCCCTGTCTTTTTCATAAAGTAGTATTATGATAATGTGGAATTTTCAAGTAAAGAAATAATGCAGCAATGAAAAATTCTAACTAGCAAATTTGGTTGTTTTTTTTATCATGAAATCTTCCGCGTACCGTACGTTTAGACATCATCATTGACTGCGGCGGTTACAGAAACGTGATCGTCATCGTCCGCGATTGGGGCAAAATCATGAAAATTTTCCGCGGCTGTTTAGACATCACCGTCATCTCCAGCGGTCATGGAAACGTCATCGTCGACGTTCGCAATCACGGCAAAATCATGAACATTTCCCGCGGCCGTGTAGACATCATCATCGTCTCCCGTGGTCACAGAAACGTCATCGTCATCTCCCGCGGTCACAGAAACGTCATCGTCATCTCCCGCGGTCACGGAAACGTCATCGTCGTCGTCCGGGATCGCGGCAAAATCATGAACATTTCCCGCGGCTGTTTAGACATCACCGTCATCACCCGCGGTCACGGAAACGTTATCGTCGTCGTCCGCGATCACGGCAAAATCATGAACATTTCCCGCGGCCGTGTAGACATCATCGTCGTCTCCCGCAGTTACGGAAACGTCATCGTCATTTCCCGCGGCCGTGTAGACATCATCGTCATTTCACGCGGCCGTGTACACATCATCGTCATCTCCCGCGGTCACGGAAACGTCAACGTCATCTCCCGCGGTCACGGAAACGTCATCGTCGTCGTCCGGGATCGCGGCAAAATCATGAACATTTCCCGCGGCTGTTTAGACATCACCGTCATCACCCGCGGTCACGGAAACGTTATCGTTGTCGTCCGCGATCACGGCAAAATCATGAACATTTCCCGCGGCCGTGTAGACATCATCGTCATTTCACGCGGCCGTGTACACATCATCGTCGTCTCCCGCGGTCACGGAAACGTCATCGTCATATCCCGCGGTCACGGAAACGTCATTGTCGTCGTCCGGGATCGCGGCAAAATCATGAACATTTTCCGCGGCTGTTTAGACATCACCGTCATCACCCGCGGTCACGGAAACGTTATCGTCATCTCCCGCGGTCACGGAAACGTCTTCGTCGTCGTCCGGGATCGCGGCAAAATCATGAACATTTCTCGCGGCTGTTTAGACATCACCGTCATCTCCCGCGGTCACGGAAACGTTATCGGCGTCGTCCGCGATCACGGCAAAATCATTAACATTTCCCGCGGCCGTGTAGACATCATCGTCGTCTCCCGCAGTTACGGAAACGTCATCGTCATTTCCCGAAGCCGTGTAGACATCATCGTCGTCTCCCACGGTCACGGAAACGTCATCGTCATCTGCCGCGGTCACGGAAACGTCATCGTCATCTCCCGCGGTCACGGAAACGTCATCGTCGTCGTCCGGGATCGCGGCAAAATCATGAACATTTCCCGCGGCTATTTAAACAACACCGTCATCTACTGCGGTCACGGAAACGTTATCGTCGTCCTCCGCGATCTTGGAAAAATCATGAGAACATTTCCCTTGCCCGTGTAAACATCAACGTCATCTCCCGCGGTCACGGAAACGTCATCGTCATCTCCTGCGGTCACGGAAACGTCATCGTCGTCTCCCGCGGCCACGGAAACGTCATCGTCGTCTCCCGCTGTCACAGAAACGTCATCGTCATCTCTCGTGGTCACGGAAACGTTATCGTCGTCTCCCGCGGTCACGGTAATTTTATCGTCGTCCCCAGCGGTCACGGGAAGGTCATCGTCGTCTCCCGCGGTTTTGGAAACGTCATCGTCGTCGGCCACTATCGCGGCAAAATCGTGAACATTTCCCGATGCCGTGTAGACATCATCATCATTGGCTTTCGCGGTTTATGTAAACGCAAGACGACGATCGAGGCAAAATCATGAAAATTCCCGACTTTGAAATCAAATTTAAGACTAAATCCCGACTTTTCAAGACCATTTTGAAATTCAATACTAATTCCCGACTTTCCCGATTTTCCCGACTACTAGACACCCTGAACATTACAAAAGTACGGAGCTTCTGTAGGCTTACTGACCATTAGTGTCGTTACGACCCAGTGTGTGCTTAGTTAAAAGGGGTAGCAGCTAGCTTACATCTATAATGAAATACAGGTAGGAAATAGAAAAGACAGAAGACACATATAGAAAACAAAAAACACAATATTTCATCCTCTGGAGGACTTTTTCAAGAATTAATTCCAAGTTTAAATAAAATCTCTTTGTCTACACATAAATCAACCATTACCTTTAGCGGAAACTGCATCCCGCACTCAGGACAGTAGTGCTTCACCAATGTATGCGGATGTTTCTTGAACTTGTGTTGAATAGCCGCTGTGTTACATTTAAACTTTTCACCGCAAACATCACAAGATATTTCACCATCTACAAACTTAGAGGCAGACCCTTTCTCATAGCCAAAACCTCGCATCTTAGTCACGTCCACAACTCCGTTTGGCCCTACTGGTCGGCCTTTACCATCTATTTCTTTATTTGCATGTTTCCTAAAGGGGGGAAAAATTATTAAACCAGAATAATAACAAGCATAGTCTTAAAAAGAAGAGAAAAGAACCTTTTAGAAACAAAGTTGTAGTCTAGATAGATCATAGATAAAACATATTCCCTTATTAGATTTCCCTTCCTTATGGAACAGATGAAGCAAATTTTATTGTTAGCTCTGTCCGGTGTACTGTAGAGTCGTATTTTGTTTATAATGTTTTAGGGTTAGTGTCTCATGATTTGCACCTCACTGCTAGATTATATAGCTAGTGGACAAATTATTGTTTATGATTAGATAGTTTTATTTGGTTAAACGAGAGGTTTTTAATTACTAAAATAGCGAGAAACGAATTGTAAACAAAACACGACTCTACAGTACACAAGACAGAACTAACAGTATAATTGGCTTCAGCTGTTCCATAAGGATGGGAAATCTACTAAGGAAGTAGGCCTACCGGTACCTACACTAGGCTATGTTTTATCTATGGTATGTATTAGCCTATTTAACTTCTTATGTTAACCATTGACACAATGAAAATTAAGAAATCTAGAGAAATATATAAATTCAAACATTTAGTTAAGAGTACGACTTTGAACCCAACAATGGAGTAATCTACGTAACGGACCTAAGTGCAATAGCCTAACACATCTGGATTGTGAAGATAGTTAGTAACTTAACTTAACTTTGACCTAGACATATCTAACTCATTCTATCATTCACTTATATTTTCCTTAAAATATAACTTAACTTGCATTCTTTTTTGAGATCAAGACAAATTTCTCTCTTTTAGCAATATATGCCCAAGGCTAAAAGCCTATCATGAGCTAACTTAATTAATTCAAGTTCTTTATTCACTCATAAACATCTTAAAAAGGACAACTTGATGATGGGAGTGTCATCATAATAAGTAAACAACAATAATAGGCCTAGTTAATGGTTTTTGAATTTAAAAAAGCTACTGCTAGGCCTAACTTAAAATAAATAACTAACTTATGTCCATAGGTCCTAGGCTATGTTTAGCTTTGACAAGAATTAGGTTAGGCGTTTAAGTTTCTGTCTAAGCCTATTCTAGTAAGTTAATGATAGGATGTAGGCCTATGCCTATTTATTTGTGCCTTATTATGTATGCCTAACTTACTACACAGACACAAGGAATAATAAAAGGGAAAGAAAATGGAAAAGTAAAAACCGAAAAAACACGTACCTGAAATGTTCTCTTAACGCTTCTTTTGACTCTAATTTATTATTGCACAAAACACAGAGATGTTCCCCTTTATTCTCCATGGTTTTATAGGTAGGCCTAGCCTAAAAGGAGAAATAGGCTACTTTGAAAACTCGCTTAGTAACCAAAGAAATTGTACATCATTTATCTAAAATTATATAAACTACTAAGTTTATCTTTAACTTAAAATCTTTGTTCCCTATATTAACAGTATTATGTTTTAAGAATATTCCAATACAGAAATTATTCCAAAGAACAAACAACAAACAACCTCCTCCTAATAAATAAGCTGATTGCTGAAGCTATTCTTTTTCTTTACTTTAAAAAGAGAAAGAAGAACTTTATAAGCATTTATTTGATCAAAATTTAAAAGACAGATTAAGAGTGAAAACTATTGTGGATTGTAAAAGAAGTCTTATATGTGTACCACGTACATATAACAATAATTTGTATTATTTTATATCATGGTGGATTGGTGGAAGGAAAATACCACGACGCACGACGTCACCAAGATTGCAAACAAAAAATCAGCCAATTGTATTGCCATTGCCATATAAGTAATTTGTTTTTATTTGATTGTTATTATTTTGCATAATTATTCTACATGATAAAATGGTGTTTGCAATCTGATTGACGTCAGCATATGACGGGAATAGCACACCTATGTATTTTCCTTCCACCATGATTTTATATCATATAAGATATCGAGAATATTGCCTTGCATGTGCATACATTTGTGCATAGTAATCCAATCATTGAATATTTCAAAATAGGCATGCTCTACAGAGTAAGGGTTTCATTTGGCAAAATTGCTTAAAATCTTCAGAAGATTAAAGTAGATACTGAAGATGAAACTCTGTATCGAGATGTAAATATGTTTAATCCGTGCTTAGCATTTGCTATAATGTTGGTGAACGAAAGCATAGATTAAGCATTTTATGGCTAGTTATGATGAAAGTGTTCCATCGATTATGTCAATCAAAAGGGTTGTTTACATAATCGCACCTCTGCTAGCCCACTCGTTCAGCTGTTACCTTTTGGAGGGCATTTTCTGTAATGTGTTAAAGTCTGTCAGAACTGTACTTGTGTACCCAAAGGGCCCCAAATTGTCAAGCTATTTTCAAATCAAGCTATAGAGCAAGTAAACATTGTCAATTGTGATAATTTTGAAGCGCATGAGCTCCTATGGTTCCCGCCCATCTGGCTCTCGAAGGGGCAAGTCTATGTTCTCGGTAGTGGGCTGTGGGCTCGCTTATGCCAGGTCATCGTGGAATCATTTAAAGACAAAGATATATTCAACTTTATGTTGTCTTGTGTGAATTTACATGCACGTGCTTTTGATTGTGTTTCAGGTGTGATCTCAAAAGCTGGCAGTTCAGAATGGAGTCGAACACTAGGGTTCGGTTCTTTGGACCTTTCTTATTCTCAGCACACTGCATAGCTTGCTTGCTTGATACTGTAAATGAATCTTCTTTATCACGATGTATATAATGATGTTTTGCTATACGCGAATGATACCACCTTGTTCGCTCAGCACGCTAAACCTATTAAAGCTAGAAATTGTGTAGACACGCGTTGTCATTATTATTTATTTTGTCTGTTCATTTCTTTTGACTATTTTCCATTTATAAGTCATTACCTATCTGTCTAAGAATCTTGATTTTAAAATAATATTGAAATGCATTGAAGGTGTTCAAATTCTTTTAAAATTGAATACAAAAACAAGTGATTGTGATTTTCCATGTCTGTGATTCTTTCTTTCTTCTCTTCTCAACCGATATGTTGAACTATTTACAAGAAGGCAACAATAAAGCTACCACCGATTAAACAATCTGTACGGTACATACTTTCGATACATGCGATTGTTTACAATCGAAATTCACAACTGAGTTTAATTTTTTTGAACAGCTGATTTTTTACTCCCTAGGGTCTAAAAACGCGTTTTACTGCATAGGAGAGTAAAAATGCTACTTTAGACCTGTTTTAGACTAGCTGTTCTTGCTGCAATATGACGAAAGTAAATATATTGGAAGGCTGTAATTTAATTAAGTTGGGAAATAAAATATTACTAGTGGCTTGTAGGGGCAATAGCCCCTATTATTCTAGTTAGTATTTTGTACAAATTATTAGTCTCATGGGTTACCCTCTACCTTGAATTATTGTTTAACATTTTTATTTGTTATAATAGTTAGTCATTACATAGCTGCATAAAGTATATGTCTGCTCTGTTTAAAATAAAAATTCCAAAGGACTGTCCATGCAGTGTGTTTATAATATAAACTTTCTAATCATAATATAACTAAGGAACATGTTCAATAGTAATTTTCATGACTATTAATTAAATCTATATAAATTTCTTTGAATATATACAAATTCACTTCGAAAAAACACATAGAGGTAATGTCATCCTCCAAATTGTAAAATGCAAAATCACCCGGCTTAAAGTAACATAAAGTTGACCACTGGGTAAACACTGTTTTTTTTTTCAAATAATTGCCAACTTTTGTGAAGGTTTGGCCTTGCGCTTTATTTATAGTAACAGCGATTTTTCAAGAGAAAATTTAAACTCGGATTGGTTGATACGGTATTAATTTTATTTTTGGCATGAAAAATATGCTCCCTCTTTGCCTAGCCTACTCCAGTAATTCCTTCTAACTTTACACTATTTTTGGACATGCTAACCTAACCTAACACAACCAATCGTACTCCATTATCTAATCCAGACCCTTAAAATTGGGAAAAAGTATATTTAAGCTTTATAATAGTACTAGCTGTACCCGCGGGCTTTGCCCCGTTTAACTTCATATGTGAGCTCGTTCGCATGGCTCAATCACGTCCTGGTTGAAGTTCGTTCGCTACGCTCACTCACCTTTAGGTTGGAGCTCATTCGCTGCGCTCACACGTCCTGGTTGAAGTTCGTTCGCTACGCTCACTCACCTTTACGGTAGGAGCTCGTTCGCTGCGCTCACTTGCCTTCGGGTTAGCTCGTTCGCTACGCTAACTCGCCTCCGGGTTGAAGTTCGCTCGCTACGCTCACTCACTTTTGGTTTAAAATTAGCTGTTCTTTGTAACTTAAATAACAGAACCAACTTGTTTAATTGAAACAGCTGTTAAGATTCATTAATTCTATTTAAATATGAGTACTCATTAGGTTAACATGGGAAACTCCAGAGCCACTGGGGCGGAGCCTGAGAGTCCGATCAGAATAAAAACCACTTAGTTTTCCTATTTAATGCCTAAAGAATCAGTGTACCAAATTTCAGCCTCCTAGGTAAGTGGGAAGTGGGAGAATTAGTGATGAGTGAGTGAGTGAGTCAGTCAGTCAGTCAGTCAGTCAGTCAGTCAGTCAGTGAGGGCTTTGCCTTTTATAAGTATAGATACACAGTTAAAAAACAATAACAATCAAATCAAAACAAATACATACTAATTTGACGGAATGGGCACACGGAAGGGACTAAGGCTAAAGGTGTAGTGACGTCATATCTCTAGTGGTTAATGTCTTCTCTTGAGGCGACACGAATACCGTAACGAAACGATGTGATTTCAGCGGCGTTCGTGGCATAGTTGGTAGCGTTTCGGATTGGAGTTCAGGAGGTCTGGGGTTCGAAACCCGCTGGCAGCACTAACTTTTTGTCAACAAATTTTTCATATCAGCAAGTTTGGTTGGTTAGGTTAGGTTATGACAGTTTAATTTTATAATACTAAATTTTAAAATTAATTTTATAATTAATTAAAAATTATAAGTAATCATTAATTAGATTTTTTTCTTATGTAGTTTTTATACTATCAGCAAGTCTGGTTGGTTAGGTTATGTTATGACAGTTTAATTTTAAAAATTAAAAATTTATTTTATAATTTTAAAACAATATTTTATAATTAAAAAGTTAATTTTATAACTTATAACAAAAAATAAAAAATAAAAAATTAATTTTTCAACTTAGCAGTCCTAGCGGCGAACGCTGACACTACAAGATATGTTAGCCTTAGTCCCTCCCGTGTGCCCCACCGCTAATTTGACAGTTACAATCAGGTGATCTTTTGTTTGCAATCCGAGTGACGTCAGAATATGACGGGAATAGCACACCTATGTTTTTTCCTTCCACCATGCACGGTACGGGGAATGGGCACACGGAAGGGACTAAGGCTAAATGTGTAATGACGTCATATCTCTAGTGGTTATTGTCTTCTCTTGAGGCGACACGATTACCGTAACGAAACGATGTGATTTCAGCGGCGTTCGTGGCATAGTTGGTAGCGTTTCGGATTGCTGTTCAGGAGGTCCGGGGTACGAAACCCGCTGGCAGCATTAACTTTTTGTCAACAAATTTTTCATATCAGCAAGTTTGGTTGGTTAGGTTAGGTTATGACAGTTTAATTTTATAATATTAAATTTTAAAATTAATTTTATAATTAATTAAAAATTATAAGTAATCATTAATTAGATTTTTATCTTATATAGTTTTTATATTATCAGCAAGTCTGGTTGGTTAGGTTATGTTATGACAGTTTAATTTTAAAAATTAAAAATTTATTTTATAACTTTAAAACAATATTTTATAATTAAAAAGTTAATTTTATAACAAAAAAATAAAAAATTAAAAATTAATTTAAATTTTTTCAACTTAGCAGTCCTAGCGGCGAATGCTGACACTACAAGATATGTTAGCCTTAGTCCCTCCCGTGTGCCCCACCGCACAGTACGGTACATATTACAAATTACCATATGCTTTAAATAAAGTTAAACCACATGTTTTAAAGTAAACAAAGCAGACATGACTTAGATTCCCGTGCTATTTAAATGTGAATTAATTTATTCCGTAATAACCTTTTGGTGCATAATTAAGAAAAATGAATAGTTTTCCCTCCAAATTCACGTCAAGACCTTTAAAATAAGACCCCTCCCATCCTTCTACGGCCATCCAGTCACTCACAATTTCTTTACAAAAATTTGACTTACGGAATTATATATATAGATTATTTAATTTCATTTCAATTGTGAAACGGCATTTTATTATGTAAGGGAAAGCCATACTACTTTTGAAAACAACTTTTAGGGGACCCAATAAATTGTCAAGGAGGGGGAAGGAGAAAGTTGGGGGTTTGATTAAATTGCCTACGATACCGTAGTTTTTTTCTATTTATGTTTCACCTTAATTTTGTGTCAATAAAGCTCACATATAATTAGTACTGTATTTGAAATAAAGCTAAAGTTTCATTACAAATGAATATACAAGCATTTACCCTGCTTCTACACTTATACTACAA